TACATTTTTTTATTGCAACTGACTCCGCAAATCTAAGCAACCGGGGTTAGGTGTTAGCGTAAATGATCTTAACTCGGCTGGTCGGGTCCGGACCATCATTCATCATCAACAAATGTTAGGCTGTTTGTGTATTCGCGGTGACCTTTGGTAAGAGCTGTGGGTTAGTACTGGTGTAATGATATTAAGTGTGTTAAGAGTGGGTAATGGATATGTGTGGGTTTGCGGGGGCCAATTGGGGAAGAATCTTTGATCACGTGATTCAGTCAATCGGCATCTAACCTAACATGGAATATGCTCCTGGATCAATGTATGCAACAACCTTCACAAGCACTGATGATGTTATCACCTCGGCTGGTGTGATGAAACGTTTGCAAACAAATTGCCAATTGCTCGGCGAACAGGCGAAATGGAATTCAGTTCACCCGAGCTACGGGAACCAATTTTCAATACTTTGTCAATTACCTACCTATCTGTTTTACCAAACTGGTAAATGACGTGCGATTTGGCGGGCAGTGGTAAGGGTTGCTTTGTTGGTGGAGTGGAGATGAGTGTGATTGTGTACAGGACGATTGGGTTAGGAGCATTACAAATGCGTTTCATCACAATTTTTCAGTCGGTCGTGCAAAATCAGTATGATATCGTCGCCTTTGAAAGGAAGGCAACTGTAGACCTTTTTCTTAGGGACGTCGTATACTGCTGGGTTTTGCTCCGGTGTCCGATTGAACTTCCGAATAAGACTGCCAGGGTAGGCGTTCTTGACAAGAATTGATTCACAGGACCGTATACCGCAAGAGTATATGGAGGGGTCTATATCTACACTTTGGTAGTTTCGTACCACTGAATAACAAGCGCCATCGAACACGTATTTACACCGAGGATAGCCTAAAAGCGGAGCTAGACCAACTCCAACTCGGATAACACCTATCCTGTCTTGGTAACTGATAGACGGCAGTCTGGTTATTTCAACAGAAGGAGATAGCACAACACATTTCATCTTTGAAATGTGATTACGTCACCACATTAGCACTCGATTGACAAAGGTAACATCTGATAGTTAAATGATTCATTCAATACGCTATGAATTTCCTTGTATTCCGTTTTTAAGTCACGAAATATGCCCACTGATTAGAAGCACAGCCAAAATTGACGAACATAGATTTTCAATGAATTTCAGTGGTAGTGACCACGAGAGAATTCCAAATCGATACGTTGCTTGGATTAAATAACCAAAATTCATTTTGTTACGTCATGCTCATGTGAGCAATCTCTTATCCAAGGGAGTTTGAGGGAGCTTGCATTATTTGTCGTTGTGCGCATAGTTCGGGGTTCATAAGTTGCCTCCGCAATCACAAACCTCCGAAACCGCATTGTCCTCGAGAAGTGTGCTTAGACGCGACAGATGATTGGGAATGCCGAACCGCATATCCGTCAAGTGTTCCGTCTGTACCAAGTGAGCACTGATCATGCCTGACACAACTCCGCTCCTACCACTAACGTAACTTATCCACCCAGATATTTGACCTTCCTGAAATTGTTTCCTATACTGGTGATTGTAAAAGCTTGAAAAGGAATTCACCGAAAACATATGTTCACCTACATTGCGTGTTCATTACTTTTTTTAACTTTTCTCTGGAAATTTCAAAACCCCACCCTATTCGACATTGAATCGGATAAGCTGAGTCCGGGATTGTATCTGAGTTACCAAACAGAGCAATAAAGGCAGTACTGAAACCAGCTGAATTGCTTTCACCCGGGCTCTAGAGTGTCTCAAGGAAAACGTCATCTTCATACTTTGTATCCGGGATCACCGCACTTCCGAACAGGTACTGCATAGATAGAACAGAAAAGCAATTACGTAATTGGGTTTCAGGCTGCGAAGTCACAGCCGGTAACTGGTAAGGACCGCGCTTACAAAACAACAAACACATTGATTGCCAAGCCCTTGTTGATGACGTAATATCTCGTGGATCGAGTGAAAAAGCGTTTTGAGTATTTTTTTGCTGATGATAACACCAGAATGTTCAAGATCGCCGAGGCGATTGAAATCAACCGACGGAAACCAATTCTGCGTTAATAAAAGGAGTTGTTCATCACCTTGGCTTTACCTTGGAGAATTTTTCCCCATTTACATTTGTTTATTTTGTAATCAATTCCCTTAATCATAAATAAACAATGTATTTGTCTGCAGTAGGCACCAGCTGAGGAGCAGTGACGTTGTTCAGGACATACATCGTGCGATGCTGGTATATTGGCTTCGCTTTTCAAATCATTTTTGTACTATTTCCAGTGGTTATTCATCCTTTGCTCATGTCCTTTTAGCCTTGACTACTATAGTTCTTTTTAGCGCTGGTATCAATCTGCTTACTGATTAGCACAAAGCCACGTCCCAACAGCCAGGCTGTACACCGCATCGAAAGTAGCCCAATGATTGAGATTTGGAAAGACAAGTTGACAAATGTGGCACGGAGCATAGAGCGGAACAAGCCCCCTATTCTCTAACTGAAATTATATCCAAGCATTTTTGTGTGTCTGCTCCTGTGTACAACAGCTTTTAAAACCCCTAACCATGCATTTTTGTTTGGATGTGCCTTTGAGCTAATCTGTGAATGAATGGAGACCAAGACTAAAAAGTTAGGAAAGAAGGCAAAAATTCCATGAACTACGGAAAACACTGTGGTCTATGATCACATCATTATCGTCATAAAATTCACGGTGTTTGGTGAAGTGGATTATTTATCGCGGTCACAAGGAGATAGTCCTTGGATGGGGGAAATCAGCAGTAAGAGTGTGATTAGTCAACCCTACCAGATGACGCCAGTCAAGTGCCTTTGCGTTATAGTGGACAACGAACTGGACAACGAATCACAAGCCAATCGTGCCGACCAATCAGAAGTCGTGCGGTCCAGACAGAAGCTGTGTGATGTTAAACATACAGGCACGCGAGTGGTGTATACCAGTATAACCAATAAACATCCTTTCTGTACATGTTATTCAATCCCATTGATTCTTTTCAATAAACGAACGGCTACTTCGGAAGACCGGGGCCTGCGTCTCGGCGACGGGAGATTCCAGCGTACAAGTGTTGGTGCGATTCAGTGTTTCATTTGTGCCCGTGATTTGTAATCTGTCCCGAGCTGGACTACCACAAAAAGCCGCACGGAATTTCGGAGTGGTAAACGATCGGCTGATGAATCTGCCGACAGGCAAGCTGTGTACTAAAAAAACGAGTTAACTGTGGTGGCTTTCAAACCCCGAATATCAGGTATTGGTACACATCAAGGATAATGACTTACAGCAACAACACCCACCACCATCACCACCAGCAAAAAAAACATGAAAAAAATAACCACAGTGTCTAAGCATTTCATTATTCGTGATCTGTTCAGAGGTCGATTACAGTGACAATGAAAAGCACTGGAACGATCATTCCTTATCCAAATTCTACCTATTGCAGCTATTCGATTGGGATGCAATCTGTCCAAAAACGCTTAACAATCTTAGTAGTGCATCACCTTCAGACCGAAAATGATTTTTTCCAAGGTATTCTTTATCCGGTTTCATTTCAATCATAAACTCTCAGAGAGCTATAACGATAGTCCTATCACAATACTTTGCAGTTTTCACATAGTCCTTTTCAAAACAATATAAATCACTGAGAAGAAACCCGAAATTACAATCGACTGTCAGGGGCGGGAGGCTAATACCTTGGTGTTCTGTGCAAAGACCGAGGCTGAGCAGTGCTTCCATCTTGTTCATAAAAAATGCTTTCATGGAGCACCTTTCTTAATGTCCTGTCAAACGGAGTCTTTTCCTGAAATAGTAGAGGAAGTTGGTACAAGTTGGAAAGATTGAATCCTCTGATTTCAAACCTGGCAACCACAGCCATATCAACTGGCTTTACGATATCCCAGTTGCGATTATGGGATGGGATAGCTTGATTATTGCGATCAAATGAACCTCATCTCTCAAGGATGTAGGAGCAATTGTACTAGAAATGGCCCCTTGTGGTGATCCTAGCCTACGAGATGACGCAAACCAATGAGAGGCACGTTACAGTTTTTAGACAACTGTGATGAATCAAGCCTCCCAGGTGATGCCAGCAAAG